CAATTAGACAAGATACCTCCCATTCAAGCGGAATTTTTCATACCGCATATCTCAGGAAGTATTTGTGGTAGAGTACATGGAGAAGGGCTGCCATCTGTTTAAATAATTAAACTCAACTTTACTTGAGTGAATTATTTATTTGAAGTTTGTATTTCAATGGATATGGGTGTCAGACGAAAGAGGCTTAAAAAGGTTGTATGTAGTTTGAAAATATTTTTAAAAGGGTTGCAAGCTACTTGAGAAGTCAAATCAAAATTAACTATTTGCAAGCCTTATATGTGAGAATTAAAAGACGGGTAGGTGTCAAATGAAAATTTGTTAAAAATCGTATAGTTTGAACTTCGATAATATTGCTGAGGTGTTTTACCTCAAATTAAGATAATGTCCTATAGAGCATTTAGTTACGTCGAATGATATCTTCCTGCTTAACATTTTTGTAGGACACATTAACCCTCTATCTGCCACTTTTTAATCAGGTGACATGGAACTTCCTCAAGCTAAGTGCCAAAACCACCCATTATGGTATGGATTATAGCGGTTAAAATGTTCTGGAACAACGTCAAAAATATAAAGCCACAAACAATTACCGGAATTGTTTTTTGAAATTTCCTACTGTCAAATTTAAAATGCACATAAGTAAAGGTTCAGGTCCACCCCTATAAAACTTGTAGATATTAAACTCAAAAACGGAGTTGTTTGAGTAAGAAAAATTTTAAAACAAAACAAAATGTTGTTTGCCGCTGTCACAAAACTCGATCCGATGAACTTCGGAATGATGCGCCTGCATCAGCGATAGCAAAGCTACAGTTTTGGGTCGGTCTCATGAATTTTCGAATTTCGAACTCGTTTGCATTTGTCAAAATAGTAATGCAAGTGACTCCTGGCGAACCTCTGATGGCACCAAACTATTTCAGAACTTGTGGACTTCCTTGCAGGGACATTTTATTTCTACACACACCATGAAGTTTTATATACCCGCCACACACTCCAGCCAAAGCCATCGCGTGAATTGTAACTACAATACCAGCAGAGCGATAAAGCTAAAAAGTTACATTGCCAACCACAACAACAGCAAGAGCAAACAGAAGAAAGCAGTGTCAAAGAGAACTTTAAAGTTTAAACCACGAATAAAGGAAAAAACAACCAGCAACAAGAATGGCAGCAATAATATTATTGGCGGCGACACCTTCAGTGTTAAACACTTTTGCAAATTGCTGCAGTCCGCGCAAATATGTACATCAAGGCAAAAATAGCCGACAAAGAATTACGCGCACAGACGTTGGCATTAAAAGATGGTAGGGCGGAAAGCCAAACTAGCAGCCATGCCATGCCATGCCGGCAGGCAAGCAGACAGGCGGGCGGGAAAAATCGCCGCTGTAGCCGCCATGTAGACAATTGAGTGGATAAGCGGGTTAATAGAAAGTCGTCTGGCTGTTTGTGAATGTGTGTGTGCGTGTGTGCAACGACATTGCGCTATATGAAGCGCATAATGATGACGCAGAGCGGTTGTGGGGGATATCGTTGCAACATGGACACAAGTAGACATCACATTATTGATGGCAATTGAATGTACGCTCAACGATAATTGCCGAACTGTCAAAAACTGTTGGGAGGGGAGATCGGAAATGGGCGCTAGTCATTCATGCTAATGTCAGATAATGGTTTTGGTGACCAAAATTTAGCGTCCTGCCAATTTATTGCCCGTTTGAAGCTTTCTTGGACGTCGTGTCTTCGTGATCCCACCAAAGGAGATTAGATCTGCGCTTAGTACGCGAAAGAAGGCAGAAGCATCAAGAAAGATCGAAGTTAGTGTTCTTAGCCCTTCGTCAAGTTTGACCTTTGTGTTGTACCTGCCTTCATATAATCTAATATCTTTCTATAGCGTTCGCAGTTAGTATTTCTAGGATTTCTGAGAATTCTACAATTTTTATGGGGAGAGATAAAAATGTGGGAGCTAATGTATTTCTGTTGGTTTCAGAGAATAATGGCGCTTCAAGCACCCACCAGTTATCTGCTTTCGTACGAATAACCGTAAAGAGAGTTAGGTAAAGAACGCTCCTGGACGTAGGTCCAATAAACGTCGCTGCTTGACCTCTATTAGCTACTTCCAAATCTTTTTGTAGTATATGGTTAAGAAGTGACTCACCTCTTTTATTTATGTCAGCGCAGCCCCACTGCTGTATGATGAGCGTTCGCGTCAGATTCAGCTATAAGCAGTCGTTTCCTATCGCCAGTCATTTCTACCAGCCCATGAAGCTCCTTCGATTCATTGTTCTTTTACCGCCACAATCGTCAAGACGCCTGTGAAATGATTGTTATCAAAATAAGAGGGCACATTTTTTTACCATAACTGCTGTTCCTACCTTATAATATACCTAACCTAGTGAAAAAATTTAACATTTAAATATTTTATGTACAATTGCAATAAAAAATTTGAGTTTTTTATGGAATTATGCCAGTGCGAGGCATTTCACCGAAAATCGGAGAATTTCGCGGTGGCCAACTGGGAAAAAGATAAAATGAGTTGAATCCCTGGTTCATATATACATACCTCTGCACATATCGTTGCTACCATGTTTTAACTATCGATTGTAAAAATCGGTACTTTTCAGTAGAGAAAAGAAACTGTTGTAAAAAAGGTTGTTGTCATTAGGAAACAGTGTACGGGGCGACACTTTGTTAAAGCCAGTATCCTCTTCTTCTAATATGACTAGAAATTCGACGATTGGCAATTTTACGTATCATTTTTGCGCATTCGATAGTTTGACATGGTAGCGACGATATATACATTTGTTAATTTTTTGTTTCCTAAATATTTTCCATGTCTGTATGTATAGATAGGCTTAAATGTAAATTTCGAATTTGTATTGTTTTTATATTGGCACAAAGTCCTGACTCATAACTTGAATCATATATGTAGATACATAACACTACATACTAAAAGATTCATATAAGATTCACACGTTTTTAACAGACTTCCAAAAAAAGGAGGAGTTTATCAGTTCGTCGGAATATTTTTTTTTTATGTACATATGTATGTACTTTTATGTACTTTGGACCACGTCAACCGATTTCGATAATTATTTTTGCATCGGAAAGGTAGTGTCTCAGAGGTGGTTCCATATGAAACTGGTTTAGATCCGATCATCGGATCATGAGACATATATATGTATATGTATATATTTTCTTTTTATATGAGAATTGAAGTCGTTTTTTTTTTGCTAAAAATTACTTGTTTGTTTTTGAAGCTCGTACTTCTTTTCTAGCTAGTGCTACTTTCGGACTCATATATTCTTTTTGTTTTTGAAGTTACAAAAGTACACTCTTAAAAGTGCACGTAAAACTACTAATGTTTATTTTTCAACCAGAGTTTCCCCTCTCAAAAATTCACTTTAAAAATCCGAATTGGCACAGCTGTACCAAGCATGTCACGGAAGGGTTAAAGCAGTAAATGACGTTCTATATGGAACTTGATTAAACTATGGTTCAATAAACAATTTGGTATTACTATTGAAAGTCTCCTGAAGAGAACCTGAGTAGTCCGATCGAAAAATATAAATTTTCAAGAATTCTTTGAACGACTTCTAAATATTTTTTATTTAAAAATAACAAAAATGGGTTATACTTTTTTCCAGGATAGAACCATCCTAGAGGGTGACAGCATTAAAATTCCGACTTTACTCTTTTTGGACCACCTTAGTGTACACACATACATACATACATTTGCAATTTTTATGTATGCACCTATGATGGCACATAATTTACAAAAACAAAAAAAAAACAAAAATACATTTGGGCATTAAAAGAAATTCGGCTATTCGCAGGCAAAACAATTATAATAATTAACACAAGCAACCAAGTGGAAATTTTACTACACAAAAAAAGAAGCAATCGAAACGAGCAAAACGACAGAACGAACGAGCCGTCACCATTGTCGCCGCAACAAGATATCAAAAACAATTGAAACAAAAGGAGAAAATTAAGAACAACAATAAACATACGACGAAGCGAATAATCACAGCGTTCACCAGCGCGCTTTTGTATAGTAAATATGTATGTATGTATGCATCTACATACGTACATATAAATACATATACGTTTCCATGTAGATGTATGTATGTGTGCGCGTATATGTGAATGCATGTAAAAAAATATTTTATTGTCAATAAAGGAGAGTACTCGCATACTCCACACTGTGATAAACAATACAGGCATATTGCTGTTGTTGCTGCTGCTTCTGCTGCTCGTAACAAACCGTTCATACCAACAGCCAGGCCAACAGCGTCAAATTGGAAAAATTAATGACGCTCTGTTGACAGCTACAACAAAGAGTCTTATATCATGTCGGGAATGTGCTAGCGCAAGCATAGGCAATGGCCAAGAGCCATCAAACGGCACAATTACTACATAGCCATGTATGTGTGTATGTGCGTGTATGTGCTTGCTACTTACACATGTACATATGTAGATATATATAAAACTCCTCGAAATGCGTTCAAAGCAACGCGTCGCAGCGATGTCATTGGTGGAGCGCAGCGCAGCTGTAAGCACGCCCCTTTTTCGAACCCCTCAAAGTGTTTTAAACGAAACTGGCACAGTTACTCCCTCACTCTTTTTTGTTGTTTCTCTCTCTCACATTCTCAATCGAATTCGAGCTAGCTTCGTGACGTCATCGTATGTGCGGTAAAAACAGAAAAGGAAGTTAACAGAAAAAAATAAGCGCTTGCAACCAGTTTGCCGCTGAGAGAATGACAAAGACTGGTTTCCAGCGCTCTTGCTCCCAGTTGCCCCAACAAGCCACTTTGTTTTTGTATTTTGTGGCATTTGTGGTAATATTTTTTTTTTTAATTTTTTTCTCCAAACACAGCATTGTTGGGCGCGCGCTCTTTCTCTCTCTCTTCCGGTTAGACGCGCTGGTAAATTTATGTTGAGCGCCGCAGCAGACTAGGACGCCACGAGCCATTTTTGCTGTTTCAGTCCGCGTCATAGTGTCAGTAAACACCACTGATGTGTACGTTCGTTTTGGCATTTGTCGTTTTGCCGACGCATTTTTTTCAAGCCACTTTTACGCGCCGCGTACGTTAAAAATTGTATGCCACACTGAGGCGCGTGCTTGCCACGGTAACGGTGACAATTATCAGTGCAATTAAATACTGTTACTTCCATGGGTAGCGTAGGAGTGTATGTACATAATTTCATTTGAATATGAGTGTCCATTGCCTATAACATTGGCGTTGCACGAATTAATATAACAAAAACAAAAAATGTGTTTTAACGCGCCTACGAAAAATCGAAGATGTGTAAACATAAAAGCTCAAATACAATTGTGCTAATTTGAACATAAAAACGTTTCCGCAACTAAATAAAAGTCCTCATATAATTACATAAGTTCCTTTTCCTGCATTCCCGCGTGTGTTAGCCACCGCCGAGCATGATGCGTTCCGGCAGTCCACTTGCGCGCCCCGCCAGTCCGGCTGTCTCTGAGATTTCAGTAGGCTCTCCGAGCCCGCCATTGCACAGTGCTCCTAATGATCTAAGTCAACTCAACAGTCTCACCGCCTTCCGGCCGTTAAGTATGAAACGCGCGCGATTGTCTGAAGCGCGCTTGCAAAGCGAAGCGACAACCGCAGCATGCGGCGTTGAGTTAGGCAACCGCCTACCGTCACAGGCTCCGCAACGGCGCAAATCCAGCGCGGAGCGTGTTAAAAGCTTTTCAATTGTTGATATTTTGGGTAAACGCAATACTTCCGTGCGCTCGCCATCACCACGATCGATCTCGCCGCAATCGCCAACCTCACCAGCACAAACACCACAGCCTCTAAAACCGGCAAGTGACACTACCGGCCTAGTTGAATCCGCACAAATTCCGCTTCAGCCACGTCCGCAAGTCGTACCACCGCCTGTCACGCTGTTACCTGCACAAGTCCTAAGCGAACGCCTGGGCTCCACTGTAGCGCCACTAGTCATGTCACCATCACAGCTATTGCTCGACGCGCATGGTTTTCCGAAGTCATCGGCGCACGCTTGGCAAGCGATGCGCGGCGCTGCTGCTGCCATGCCGTTGCGCCCCTTTCTACCGCCCGCGCTGCTGCATTACGAACAGCGTCTCGCTTGGGATTACCAGCGACAATTGCAGGAACACTTCCAAGCGCAGGCACAACTCTTGCGTCAAATGAGTTTGGACCCGTCAATTATTCCTTCGGAAGATGGCTCGGAACGTTCACATTCCAGTTCGACCGGCAGTGATTGCTGTTCGCCTGGCTTGAATGCTGTGCCAGCCACCGCTGATGGTGCAGCGGCGACGGCTGATAGACAAGGCGGGGAAAAAATAGGTCAAGCTGAGGTAGAAGGCAATGACTCACGAAAGGGGGCCGATGCGAATGCGGTTGGGAAGGCAAAAAAGGCTGCTGGTGATACGCCGTTGGATGCACTCTTTCAGCTGTCAACCAAAAATTTTGACGATGGTACAGGTAAGTTTTCGGAAAAAGTTTGTACTTGTACTCACAATTGTGGTTGGGTTTGTTTCTCGCCTATTCTTCCGATGCCTTTCAAATGGCCCGACAATTGAGATTTGACTGCAACTATGGCGAACCAGGAAGGACATTAATACAAATAAGTACAAATAGTTGACCTTGCCTTAACTGCAGTGGGCAAACAACCTAAATTACTTAGCGAACTTATACAAAATGAAGGAGAGCAGACTAGATGCCTATAATCTAAGTCAGTCATTGACAGCCTTGAATAAAAACAAATTTCCCAATTCCAGCTCCCCTCACAGAATAGTGCTACACTAACACAGGCGAACGATATTAGATACCTGAATAACTATGAGACTCAACAGGACCAACGCTAAACCTTGTACATTAGGGCGCCTCACCAAAAAAGTTGTGGGTTTTCCACCGGGATTATAAAACTTATTGTACTTTAAGACTTCTGTCAAACTATTTCGAAAAAAAAACATTACTATTTACTTGAGCTGAATCGATTTGAAAATACCCCCAAAAATTTCATTATTTTGATTCAGGTCATACAATTTGTAAACCTTCTTATGCAAACCTTCAAGCCTAAACACTTCTATCATCTGAGGCGATTTGTTGGAAAAAAATATTTAAAAAAAAACTCGACTTATTTAAACAACCATATAAATCCAAGTTTCAATCTTTGTGCAACATTAAAAAAAAATCAACAAAGTTTCGTAAAAATGTCGGCCTTTTTAATTCGACTTTTTGGTACTACTAGTGTTCGCCCAGCGGTTGAAATTCAACCACTAATGTTAAGGGGAATTGAGATAAGTTGAGTTGACTTGCCTTGAGTAATGGTGAAGTGAATTGAAGTAAAGTGAGTTCAGGTGAGGTGAGGTTAGATAATTGAATGTGAGTTCGGCTGATATGAAATGAGTTGAGGTGAAATAAAATTAGTTGAACTGAGTTGAGTTGAGGTGAGGTGAGTTTTTTTTTGAGTTTAGCTGAGTTGAGTTAAATTGAGATGAGGAGAGTGAAGGCGATTTGAGATGAATTGAGAGGACCTTATGCGTGGTTAGTTGTGGTAGCATGAGGGGAATTGAGGTAACATGAGGGGAGTTGAGGGCATTTAAAGTGATTTGAAAGGGGCTGTGGTGAGTTGAGGTGAAATTCGTTATCATAATTTTTTTTTTAAGTCAAATGGTTAACAACAACAACGAGTGTCATTAAATGGAAATACATTTTTTTTGGTATCCTGTTGTGCTACTATGATTGCACGGCCGAGTAATCATAGTCAACTTATGCACAGTAGTCGAAAAAATTATAGCCGCACAAAATTTTGGCAAGTTTTAAAATATTAGTTTTTATAGTCCATTTTTAACAACATCCGTATAAACACAAGTTTAAAGGCAGTATCGCACGATTGGGTATTTGCCGAAATTTGGTGCAAATCGCGTCCCAACCGTGTGGATACCCAAATATTTTTTTTTTATCCCAATCACGAAAAATAATTTGTTGAAATTTTTCAATAGAAGATTGCTGTATTGTACCAATAGCCTAATGTAAAAATGCACAAATCTGTACAAATGTGCAAATCGAAATGCACTGCCTTAAAAATGTATGCATTAAAAAAACAATAAAAAACTTTTTAAAAATTTTGAATTTTTAATTAGATTCTGGGTATGCAGTTTTGTAGCCCAATGAATTCTAGTAGAATAAAGTACAAGTTTCAAATAGCTAAAAAATTACGGTTGATTTTTTAGAATTTTTATAAAAACTTGAAACTTTGTACGAAAGTTTGTTGAATTTTTTTTCTTATATTGCGCAAAGTTGGAAACTTGGATTTTCACGGGGTTTGTTTAAGAATTAACTATATTTTTATAAAAAAATAATGATCAAAATTAAATAACAACAAAAATAATACGTTAAAACTTGGCAAAAAGTGGTTCGGCTATAATTTTTTGACCGCCGTATGTATTTTTTTTATAAAATTAATTTCGCATACACATAGTATAAAACCGTTATGCACTAGAGATGTAAATTTCTTGCTTTTTACGATCCCGAAATTTTCGGGATGTCGTTAGATGTTCATTACTTTTCAACCATTTAAATCGAAAAAATTGCTTCTACCCACCATAAGAAGCTTCCCCACCATAAAATAAATAATATTTAAATAACCTAACTTATTGTTTAAAGTGGCATCTTTATTTTTTTTCTCTGACGTCAGGATTTATTTTAAAGAACTTTGTAATTTCAAACATATGAGACAATTTCTTTGGAATTTAAAAATATATAAAATTATTTGGATTTGCAAGGACGAATAGGTAATTTTTTAAGCTGATGAAGTGAGAACGGCCAAATTTGAGGATGTTAACGAGTTCATATAAGTCCTTAACATATAATTTTTTCAAAAACAAATATTGCGAAATATCACCGATGCTCTGACCTGAAATACCGCCTTGACTGTTTCAGTTTAAAGTAGCTCCGACTTACCGTTGATTTTTGGCAATCTTTCTGGTTGAAGGTGTTGCGCATTTTCTCCATATAAAAAGCAGTCGTGCTAGGTTGTCACCTTAGTCAGTAAAAATTAGTTAGCAAGATATACAAATTCAGAAAGATACCATTGATTTTCTGTTGCCAAAATGCTGCCAAAATGCTGTTCGCGGGAGTATCCAGTTTTTGTTATGTTCATTTGACACTACTAAAAGCTCATAGTGAGAAACATTAAACCGTCTACACAGCTGAAGGCAGCGGTATCCCTCTCAGTCCTTACCCAAATTGCTTTTATCCATTCCTGTTTATATTTGCTAAAAAAAAACGTACATAAAAAATTAACCGGTGAATAGTCATAGTATGTATCAATATATGCATATATGTATGTATGTATGTACGAACGCATTGCCCCACATTATTCCATTAACAAACCACAAACAAAAACGCAACTGTTTCAAAAGAATGAACAAAACAAGCATGATGATCCATCAACACAATAGGAGCCGGTACCAAGCCGCGGCACAGTGATCGATGATCAATTGTTGTCATTACGTCTTGATGAGATTCTGTTTAAAGCGTAAACACAGTAGTGAGGTCACTCGCCTGCAGTGGATTAATCAATTTCTACGATGGATCTCCTCACATTGACGCGCTCTGCCCTGGTACGCTGCCTACAGAAAATCAGTGGCAACCGCAAAAAAAAGAGAGATGAATAACAACAAGCGAAAAAAATAATAATAACAGCAAAATCAATTCAAGTCGCCGGTATACTTTTGTCTTCTTATTTACGTAAGTATGCACATTAGGGTACAACACTCTTCAAACCAAAAAAATTAAAAATCGGCAATGTTTTTCTATCGGAATCGCTCTGGTGTAACATTAAAACCAAAGAAAAGAAAAAGCTTTTTCTAATAGCGGTCGGCAATGGCAAAGCTCCGAGTGTATTTCTGCTATGAAAACAGCTATTCATGTACAAACAATCGCCGTTCGAATTTGTCGTGAAATTGTAAGGCCCTCACACAAATCGAATGAGAAGCTCGGCCAAATACTCTCCATAATTTTCCAGAATATTTTGGCGGGTGTTTTAAAATATAACCAATTTTATAGTTCCTGTGGAAAAACTGCAACTTTTTTTTTGTAATGCACCCTAATGTACATACATGTACATAACTAGGTACATTTGTATTTAGATATGCGAAATTTCTGCGTTAATCTCTAAAGGCGCATTCCATTTGGCCACCGAGCGGCATTTTGATTGCCAATATGATCGTTTTGGCGCATGCGTATCATTTCCACTCATAGCTCATCGGCCGGCCAGATGTAACAAGCGCGGAGTAAACGAGTGGAGACACACACACACACACACACACACAGATGCTCGCAGACAATCAACAATCAAGAGCTGGAGGGAGCAACAAAATTGGACCCAATTCCAATACTCTCTTGATTTCTTGATTTGCTGAATGATTGTGTTGCTCCTAACTGTTGACTATGCACGCAGGCCAGACAGAAGCTTTTCCAATACGCCGCGTTGGACGTTTTCTCGTTAAGCCCCGGGGACCTTGCCGTGATCGTGTGATCGTTCAGTGAAATCAGCTACTGTATTGCGCACTGCTTTACGAGGTTGTATGCATTCATACATATCGACACATTTACATTCTGGTATAAAGTAAATTTGTATCTATACTTCTGACGTTGTTCTAGCAGCATTGTGATCATGTTCAGTTAAATTGGATTTACGCGGGGCACGTACGCGTAAATCGGTGCTTCGTAATCATCAGACAAATCAGTTCCTCCATCGAGTCTCGAGAGTCGCATCGCATCGCAGCAAAGTAGACTGGGCCAGTGCAGAACAGATCAATTCAAATTGCGCCGCGTACGATAAGAAGAACCACTTTATTTTCTCTTATTCTTCAACTTTGGCTCCACCATGCTCCTCCTCCACTCTCTTCTTGCAAAGCTTTACTCATCTGCATTTGTATTATTATTATTATTATTACATTATTACAGTTTAATCACGTGATTTGCCATACCGCCACTGTTAGTTTGCTAGTTTGTAATATCGCGACAGCAGTCAGAGTGGTCGGTCAGTAGTTTCCTGGCGTCAATTGTGTTACGCATGTACGAAAATCAATTTGAAATTGCGCTTCTTCTCGAGGTTCCAGCTCAGCCTTACATTCAGCCTTACATTGGTACCATTTTTCAGTATGCAACAAATAAATGTGTAACTAGTGGCGCCTCACATCCGGTAACGAAACGGTTTTCTGCATTTTAATCTGCTAATGCTACTGGGATTGAATTGTGCCACTGATTTTGCGGCTGATGCGCTTTAGAAATAGAATGAAGAAAGGTAGATTGGAGACGTGCGTGGCGATTTACGTACTATAATTAAAGTGTGTTTGGGTAAGGTGTGTTGGGGGAGTAGAATTGAGGTGGGTTCAGGTGAGTTGAGGTGAGATGAGGTGAAATGAAGTGAGGTGAAGTGCAGTGAGCAACATAACATTATATAACACACATATCCTTAATGTTGACGCTATCCATTTCTCAATCTCTTTGCCTATATCTCTATCCATTTCTCTGTCTGTATACTTTTCTTTATCTATTTATCTGTATCCTCATCTTTGTTTTTGCCTTAAATTTTAATTTTGTCTTTATCTTTATTCTTTTGTTCATTTACATATTCATCTTTACCTTTATCATTATATATATTTGGTATTTTAGGCAAAAAATGGGGAATAAAACCACATATAGTACACTGGATGTACACAGCTGTGATAAGACCCATCCTTTTCTACGAGGTCACCTTTGTCCAGAGGCAAGGTGGAACGGATGCAGAGGACGGCTGCCATGCTAGTCACGGGATCACTGCCCACTACACCTACCAAATCTCTGGAAATAA